TGGAAATTACATGCTCACAAGAAAATTGAAAAGTTTGAAATACGAATGCTAAGGACCTAAGATAAGTGGATATTATGGATTCATTAGCCTATGTAGCTTTGAAGTATTTTATGTATTTTTAGTATAAAAATGTACAAGTATTTAATTTGACTTTCGTATTTTCTAAATAAATATTTATTAAAATTTTATTTCGATATAAATATTATTTTATTTTTTTGCTTTCAAAATATGGTTTTGATATGTGTGCATCACCTATTATGGAAATGAGTTATTTCGAAAGTACCTAAATTATGCTAGGCTTTAATGTAACCATACATACCGTTTTGTATTTAGGTGTATTGGCAAAGTGATAAGTGTGTACCTATACATAACCATTATGTGTTCGGGTGTATGAAAAAACAATCTAATATGCGTGCCTAATTGTTCTATGTTCGAGGGTAGCAATGTTTGAAGGTACTCATGTATGTCGTTCTGTATTTGAGTACATGGGGAACTAGTGATAAATATGTGTGCGTACACATAATGTATGGTAAGTGATTGTGTAAAAGCCCAAAATTTAATTGAATGGAAATATTGAATTAATGAAATATAAGCGAAAATAATTGAGAATTTAGGGTTTACATGTCTTGCACAGTTAAATCAGAATGTATAATAGGGCTATGAGAATATTTTTTAAAGGAGATTAAAATAACAGAAATAGAAATGCAACTAGAAACTTATATGGTCGACCTCCGCAGCGCAACTCTGATGGACAACGGGAGACAACCTTTAGTCGCTAACTTTCTTACTGTTCAGGATCCAGATTTTGGTCGTCTTGATCTAAAATGGTTAAATAAGAAGAATGAACTGCACTACCCTAGTGAGAATATCAACATTAACAACCAATACATAAAACCAAAGATTGGTAAAAATTATAAAACAACTAGTGGAGTCATTTTTCTTTTTAGGTAAATTCTTTTAATTTTAAAAACGTAAATCAGACTCACCTTTTAGGTTCTCAAATACGACTTATGAAGGCAATAAACAAGATAGTAATTCATTAGACTTTTTAAAAAACAATAACAGTCAAACCTTATCTTTTTACTTACTTACCGGTATCTTTAGGGTCCATAGGGGTTTTTCCTATATGTGGACCCAATATCCAATCTATTAAATAACCGACCGTCTCGATACACCATCCGGTAATGGGCACTAAATGTACCACTACTTTAATATTCGTTTGGTATGAGGGTAAACAAATACCTCCCACCTTTTCGGTATGGAACTTCTTAGCTCTGTTCCACTGAGGTAATGTCCACGGTAGAAGTTTGCCCTATATACCAAGTCCATATGCCCTTTCCCATGACATCCGGTAAGCCTTCCACATACATATCCTCGTCATCAGCTAATCATCAATTACATATAAAAATCTTGTTTTCATAATTTCAGGTCATTATAACAACAATTGAACGACAATATGATTTGGTACTTTAATTACTAAGAAAATATTTTCAGGGCATTTATTTCAAATCAACCAACAGATAGGGATAAAACTATTAAGTAAGCTAATGAACGAGAAGCTAATTAAATCAATAAATTAAAGCATATGATGTAACAGTAAACAATTTAAGCAATATAGAAATAAATAAGCAGCACAGATAAATTGTACATTGACCAATTACTGGCTCCATCTGTAACCTATATTTCATTAGTAAAAGGTTGTCAATATTCACAAATTTTTTATTTAAACTTTAATTAACCGTAGCAGGAGAAAGGGTGAGGGATTTTTACCCCAGGTCGATGTTCGAAATACCGCATTTTTCACTGCACTTCCCAGCAGTTCCAAGATTTCTTGAAATTTTTTCTGCAAAATTGAAAACACGCGTTACATATCTTGAAGTACCCCAAAAAAACAAAAAATAAGGGTTTTAAATTTTTTTGGCCAGTTTAGGGTTCCAGCATGGCAGCGCTGCCGTGCTCCAACACCGGCTTTGTCGCCTATGGTGGGGTCTCCTCTTAGTTTATGTATTTTCGGCTGGTTTTGGCCTGTTATATGTGAAAACCTGTAAAATTTGAGGTTAGGTGGCCTCTATTCGCCAAGAAAAGGAAAAAACTAAAGCTTACCAACAGGGTAATTTTCTAGCACAGCAACTCTATCGTTCTTCCCTCACGGCAGGGGGTTTTCTTCAGTCGTCCTGTACTAGAAAAGTGTTAGGAATTCAATGGTTGGAAAATGAAAGAAAATGAGAAAGGGAATCAGGCTCACTGAAGAGGTTTTGGGTCGTGGGTGTGGCAGCTCGGCCAAGCTCCACTCTCAGTTTTTAGCTTCTCTTTTGGTTTTTCGACGCTGATATGGGTGTGGGAAGGCTTAGAATCGAATTCCGAAGTGAAATGAGGAAAAACTCACCTCTCCAGTGTCGGCGGCGACGACGGTGGTTGGCTTTCCTTCCAGCCGCCCTTTTTCTTCTTCTTTAGCGGGGTCAATTGCGGTTAGGGTTAGGGTTTCTGGGAAGAGGAATTTAAATACTTATCTTCATTAAATCTGAGCTGTTTGTTCGAGGAGACGTAGCCCATTTTCAGTTGTTAGATCGATCTTATTTGGAAAATAATTCTAGACCGCACGATCAGATACAATCAGGATCATTTGATCGCGCCTGAAGAGGAAATATATCTAGACCATTCATGCGCTCGAGAGTAAATCAAGGTCGTCGGATATGTTGGCATGTGGATCGCCCACGTGGCTTCCCAGGTGCATGCGTGTCCACGTGTCTACCACGCGACGCACGGTGATTAGTCGCACTGCTGACGTGGCGATCCTACGTGACCTATTTTCCATTATTTGCACTTTTGCCCCGATTTTTCATTTTTTTTTTTCAAATAGGTTCTTTCTTATTTTCAGCTTAGCCATGACTTTTGAAAATTGTCTTCAAATACATCCAAAACATAATTTTCTTCAAAATTTAAATTAAAAATAAAAAAATTAAAATTTCTAAATTTCTTTAAATTATTAATTATTATAATTTGATTATCTTGAGCCTAAATTTCAGGCACAGGTGTTACAGATTGATCTTCCATAATAGTGATGAAGTGTATAACGAAGCAGTTGTGAATCTATTTCCGGATATGTGCATTCGTCTTCTAAATTGTATATCTGTTTTTGAAAAAAAAACAGATGATATATATTTTTGTTGTATGTAAAAAAAATATATTGCATGTATTATGCTGTAATTTCATAATATTACTTAGTAAGATATTTTATCTCACCCCTATCACCCTCCAAATGTTGAAAATACTGTTGCAGAGTGAGCGGTGATACGAAAATTATTTTTTGAAGGTAGACTCTGATATTAAAGTTATTGTTTTGTACTTTTATTTTAGTGATGTAAGCAAGCAAATTTAGAGTCTTATATATATATTTGTGTTTTATATTTAAAGAACGTAACGCTTCCACGACTATATTATGATTAATAAAATTAAGTTATTTTACTAACTCGAGTCTATGTGATTTAAATAAGTATACTCTAGTAATTACCCTAAAAGATAGAGTATGATTCGTGACAATAATCATAATTGAGAAACAGATAATCATGTGACGGTTAAAAATAAATTTCTAAAAAATTCTAAAAATTAGCATTTGAGTTTCATCAAAGAATTTCTGAAAATTTCTTCCCAAGAATATGAAATTTAAAAATTCAATAAAAATACTACATGATTACTTTTATCAGTTTCTCTCTCTTTCTCTGCTTCAGCTGTACAAGCTCGTTGTCGCCACTCCTGCTCATCACTTCTGCTGTCCACTAGATGCCTCTCTATTTTTGCCCATCTACTTTTCCACCAGATCAGGTTTCGTCCTTTCTGTCAGATCCACTCTTTCCCTTCTTCAGATCTCCTCAAGTTTCTACATCTCTCAGTCTCCTTTTTTCATGCTCCACGTTCAAATCTCCTTTTGTAAGTAGAAGGAAGAAAGGAGATAGGAGATAAAGACTTGTATGCATGATTTGACGTCATACTAGGAATGAATTGGTAGTCTCTACCTAGCCAATAAGGACTTGACCACTAGTATAGTTTACTGAGCATGTATTGTAGAGATTACCAACAGAAAATTACCAGTGGATCTCATACTCCTAAACATATATGGCTTTAACGTCATATTAGGAATGGATTGATTGGTAGCATATCATGCCAATATAGATTTTCATGGGAAGATGGTGACCTTTAATGTTCCCAATGATAAGGCCTTCAAATTCAAAGAGATTATGGAGCCCCAACATCCATGTTTCATGTCTCGCATTCAAGCTCAACGATTACTTGAGAAGGGATGTGCAGGGTATTTAGCTTACGTAGTAGAGAATAAAAGTATAGAAGTCAATCTACAACAGATATTAGTGGTAAAGGAATTTTCTGATTTTTTTTAAAAGATCTTCTAGGTCTGCTTGCAGACAGGGAGATTGTGTTCTTCAAATTATCTTTAAGGCTCCGTATTGAATGGCGAAAGCCAGATTAGAGGAACTCAAGAAAAAATTGCAAAAATTATTAGATAAGGATTTCATCAGACTAAGTGTATCACAATTGAGAGCTTCAGTACTATTTGCAAAGAAGAAGGATGGTACCACACAACTCTGTATCAACTATAGGCAACTAAACCAAGTTACCATAAAGAATAAGTATATGTTGTCTCGTATCGATGATATAGTAGGCCAATTTCAAGGTGTTTAAGTATTTTCAAAGATAATTCTACATTCTGAATACCATCGACTAAAGATTAAGAAAGAGGATGTTTTCAAGACTGCCTTCAGAACTAGGTATAGCCATTAGGAATTTTTAATCATGCCTTTTGGTCTAACAAATGCTATTGCGGTATTTATTAATTTGATGAACAGAGTCTTCCAGCCATTCTTGGATAAGTTTATTATCGTCTTCATTGATGATATACTGATCTATTCATGAAGTGAGGTTGAATATGCGAAGCATCTGACAACAGTGCTTGGTATACTTAGGAAAAAGAAGTTGTATGCCAAGTTTAAGAAGTGTGAGTTTTGATTGAAGGAGTTTACCTTCCTCAGACATATAGTTTTAAAGGATGGGATATTAGCAGATCCAATAAGGTAGAAGTAGTAGTAAACTAAAAAAGACCTACAATGTTAACTGAAGTTCAAAGTTTTCTCGGTCTAGCTGGATACTATAGGAAGTTTATTGAAAGTTTTTCAAAGATCGCTACTCCATTAACTCAGCTCACTATAAAGGGCACAAAGTTCGAGTTGAATAATAAGTGTGAATAAAGTTTTCAGGAACTAAAGAAGTAATTGATAACAACCCCAGTATTGACTATTCCCAATGGTATTGGTGAATTCTCTATCTACAGTGATGCTTCAAAGTAAGGATTGAGATGCATGCTAATGCAACACGGCAAGTGATAGCTTATGGTTCTAGATAATTAAAGAATTATGAGTAGAACTATCCTACCCATGACTTAGAACTAGCTGTTATAGTTTTTGCCTTAAAGATCCGGCACCATTATCCATATGGGAAAAGTTTTGAGATTCACATAGACTATAAGAGTTTAAAGTACTTATTCATGCAGAAAGAATTTAATATGCCCCAAAGGAGATGGATGAATTTACTTAAGAGTTATGATTGCAAGATCCTATACCATATGGGAAAATGCAATATGGTTATAGACGCACTTACTACGAAGAGTACTTGCACTCTTGCCTACATGATGGCCTCATAGTGGAGACTCATAGAGGAGTTCCAGAAG